AGTTATAGATTAATATGTATCAAAAATTTCAATTTTTTAAAAAATGTCTCAGAACTCCATTTTCCTAGCAAACTTCCTATTTGGTTAAAAAAAAAAACATCGTGAAATTTTTTTTTTTGCAAAATGTGTATATATAGATATTGGTTATCGCACAAGCGATCATATCAGTTGTATTACCTAATCAATAATAGTCATATGATTCTGATTATTAAAGAAAAGAATTTTCACGAATTTTATACAAGTATTCGCCAATATCTTCAGTTTTAAAACTTTGTTTATGTGAAGCGAAGGCATTGAGGAATCTTGAAAGCTCAGATTGTGTTATAGTAAAAATTTTCAGATATGTTATCTAGTATACCGTTTCAGTATATAATACCCTAATAAAAAAGTTTAAAATAAAAATAAATATTATTATAGATATCAAAGTGTTATTTATCAAAGAATAATATCAATAGGCGGTAAATACATTTGCCAGTATTGTTCCAATGAAGGTGAGATTTGTGGACAGGAAAGTAGAAAACCAGAAGGGTGTTATATTCACTGTAAAAGACGCTAGCGACCTCTATGTAAACAAGATGGATATAAAAGACCGACGGCTTCTGAATATGGATTTTGTGATTGGTATATAAAAAAGTATCACTCGAACGCATATTATCATCAGAAAAAATTAGATAAGATGTTTTAGAACTGCCAGATTCCAGAAGCGTTAGGAAAGGCTCTTGATAGAATGAAAATGCCTAATGCTATAAGTTGGCCTTAATGACTTATCAAAAATTTTGCCCATGAAAAATTTATAGGGATAGCAAAAAAACTTAACAAGGATGCTGTTAGTATAGCAAACTGCAATTTTAGAACTCTGGAAAGGTATTTTTAGTATTTGTTCTTATCAACCCTATCAACCCTATGAGTTTCTGAATTCTTTACCTTTTTTTTATTTTTTTTATACCATACATCGACCATATACAAACTATATCAACTATATAAATAATTATATTTATCCATAAGAATACTATAGAAAACTTGAATTTTTTTCCTAAAACTTTTATTTTTCATAGGGTTCATAGGGTTGATAAGAACAAATAGTAAAGGACATAGAAAAACAAACTAGAATTCTCAAAATCAACATCAAAGTTAACCTTATGAAGTATCCTATGAAAATTTGATATTAATTTCATAAGAACGTAATTTACTACTATATAGGAAAGCGGTCTAAAACTAAAATTGTGAATAAGCACATTTTCAATAGGCAAATATAAGGTAGGTAAGTACGTAATCTATTATATAAAATAATAGAAGAAGATTACCCTATCACTAATATGTAGTTGGGTATGGATATTTTTATTGATGCATTTATTTTTTCATTCTCTCCAAAAAGAGATGTATAGCAAGCTAATAAGCAAATCGTAAAAGGAAGATAAGTAGATATGTATCTGAAAATGAAGACTTCTTTGTAATCTATATATAAAAAATTGGAAGAAGGTTCCATCTTTCTAGATATGTATTTGGCTACGGTATGGTCTTCGCATAAGACTTATTCACTTAATTTCAGCCAACACTATTTCACAATTTCAGCCAAAACTTTGGGCGTAATAACTTGGCATCTAAGCTGACATATAAGTAAACTGAAACTGGTGAATAAATGGAATCTCTCAGGTATCCTGCCAGTTTCCTACCAGTTTCTTAACAGTTCTATAACAGTTTTATAACACCATCATGGTGCCATCGTCTTGCTAAGTTGGGACCTAAAATCACATACCCAAAAGATCGACTAGAATTATACTATAGAGCTGGTCAAAATTAATCGCAAATACACTGCGCTACCTGTCACCTCTTTTTTTACACCATTTCAGTATTTAAAAGGCAACCAAATAGACATAAATTCTCAATATAGAACTAGCAACTAAACAAGCACAGAGTATCAGTATCCTCAACATGGAACCAAATATTAAACAAGAATGAAAAGCCAATACTAACAATGTAGAATTTATAATGTAAACGAATTAAGAACAAGAAGAAAACAGTAATCATTAGATCATGACATCACCATTAAATTAAAGCATCACCATCAACCATTAGATTATGAAATCACCACCATAATATACAAAAAGCAATAAAACAATGATATAAACGTAAAGAAGCCATCCATACATAAGTTATGAAGTTACTATTAGATTACGAATAGTAGGTTATAAAGTTACTACCAGATCATGAAATTAGATTATGAAATTACTACCATATTATGAAGTTACTGATAGATTTTGAAGTTACCATTATATTATAAAGTTACAAGCAGATTATGAAGTTACCATTATGTTATGAATATTATGAAGTTACCAGTAGATTATGAAGTTACCTTTATGACTTAACCTAAGTTGCATATAACTTTCATAATATAATTATATTATGAAAGTTACATGTGACTATATTGTATATAATTTTTTATGTTCTATACTAGAGTTTTATTAAAGTATTTATAAATGTATTTATATATAGTATTTTGATAAAAAAATTTTAAAATTTTAAAAATCTTTATGTATTATTTGGTATAATTAAAAATCTTTTATTTTTATATTAAATCACTATTTGTATAATTAAAATATAAAATATAAAGTATTACAAATAAAGTTATTTGAATTTTTATTACTTAAAAATAAATAATAATAATATATACAGTCAACCCTTGATATAACGAATTTTATGTCCTGAACTTCAACTTCGCTATAGAGCTATAGTGAATTTTTTAAAGAATTTGATTAGCTAGTTCGTTATAACGAGGGTAAATTTAATATAGTTGTCCAAAAAATTCGTTATATAAAAATTCGCTATAGAGAGGTATGACTGTATAGCTAATTAAAAACTAAATTCTTTGATAAGTATAAATCATTATATCTATATTAAAAAAAAATCTTTATAAATTATATAATAAAATTTTTTCAGAATTTTTTTCTATATGCTAATTATTTAACATTCAAACTTTAATCTTTTTTTTTTTATTTTTTATTAAATTACATTTTAATAATTTATTATATTAGTTTAATAATATTATTATTCTAATATGTAATTATTAACATTTGTATTTTTATATTTTTTTTAAAAAATATAATTATTTTATATTAATTTTATAATATTTTATTGTTTATACATTAAATAAAAAACTATCTTATTTGGAATAAATATTATTTTGCTTTTTATTCAATTTTCTAATAATATTTATTAATTATTATGATATTTAAATCAAATTTATTTTGTTATCATAAATTAAAATTTCATTTTACAAAAAAAATTATCATATATAATAATATATTAATCATATAATAATAATTTTATTAAATATAATTAATTTAATTACATTATAAATTTTTCGAATCTTTTTGAAAAGTTTTTATTATGTTATCAACAGGAACTTTCAGAATAGCATTCTAAATATTTGATATAGAAAAGAAAATCAAAAGAGCATATATATATATATATATATATGTATTTTTTCATTAAGCTACAAGTATATAAAATGATATTACAATAATAAAAAATCATAAATGTCTATTATATAAGTTTATTGAACCTTCTTAACATTCTTTCTTCTACCTCCATACGTTTGAGCAGCAAAGTTTATAAATAAAGCTGTTAATGGTAACAAATAAGAAACATTAATATAAGTAGCATAAACAGCTGTATCTGTTCGTAAACAATCATCAACAAATAAATATGAAACAGCTAATGGAGTTCCAATTAAAAATTGAATAATTTGCATCGTAGTCAAATATTGTTTTCCTGGAGGAGAAAACCCGATACAAGTAGCTGCGTAATATGCATACATTACGGAATGTATAAATGAATTAAAAACAACAAAAATCCAAATTGGTGGAGCTTTAAAGTTCATCCCGCTCCACATTGTTATCATTGCGCCCGCATGATGATAAGTTTGAAGGAATGAAGAACGGCGTCCTTTCAAGAGAATTATCACCGTATCAATTACTTCATAAACTAACGAAATTATAATGTAGAAGAAAGAAACTGCGTAAGTAACGAATTCATAACCGATAGATTATTTCCTTAGAAAAGATCATTATGCTCACATTTTGAAAGATAGAAAAGATAACCCCAATAACCGAGAGAATTATTCCATAAAGAACTGTCTCGATCGCAATACTAAATATAACAAGCAAGCATAAGTAAATAATATAAATATAATTTTACAATGGTATGATTATAACACACTTACAGCATCAGTAAAACTATCTCTGTGTTTCACAAAATTCATAAAAAATGCACTTCCCATATTAATAAAAGTTATTATACTAAAAACGCACAAGGCCAAGTTATGCAAGAATATGAAAGCAGTCATGAAAGGAGAACTTTTTATATTTTTTATTTTAAGGCCTTTTTGTTTAGCTACTATACGGGAAACAGCATTTGATTTTGGATTAAATAGAGATACTGAAATTATGTAAAGAGAAGCAATTGTTAACGGAAATCGATAATCCATAACATATGGATAATATTCAGGAAGTGGAATGCCTTTTGATGGCGGTGCTGTTGAATTGCGAGACAATAATTGTTCCATGGCAGGAAAAAAAAAAAAAAGGATTAAAAGGGTGGGAGAAAAATTAACAAGAGATTCCCTTTTTAATCGATGGAATAGTTATATATATATATTATATATTATTGTCGAGTATTCCGTTAAAGAGGTTATCAATTCGTCAAGAATTTTTTTTTTTTTGTTTAAGAAAAATAAGGGAAAATAGTAATTTTTATATGATTATTGTAATCTGATACAAATAAAAAACAAAATAGATATCCCCAACAAACTGTAGAATCGCGTGGCAATTAAAATTGAAATAATTTATATTATTGGTATGGTTGATTTTAAAAGATAAAATCCAATTTTTGGGGGGTTTTCTTGTAAATTCAATCACATGCTTGATTTAATTAAACATATTGAGCGCAGTAATTTCAACATAATTTTCCTTCAGTTAACTTCTTTTATCCCTTTTTAAACTTATGCTTATCAAATAAAAACAAATATTTTAAAGGTTCACATGAAAGGAATAATAATGTTTCAGGTATTCATAATTCGCTTTTATTTTTAACCAATCGGAAGTTTTTTTATAAAATAACCGAACAAAACGGCATATACCATTTATCCAATCCTAAAAAATGATACTATTTTGTCATCAGAATAAACATTCACTTCTATGATTTTTACTATATATATGGTTTCGTTTCAGAGAATTTTTTTAATTTTTTTTATCAGTTAAAAAAAATCAATCATTATTAAATTGCGCAATTTCGAATCTAAATAAATGCCTTCAATAATAAAAAATTCAAACAAATCCACCAAACTGATCGGTTTAGTAGCTAGCGTATCATTTCTTCTATCGGCGGCGGGTTTTACAACATATATCAATTCTAATACACTCAATTGGGAAGATCAGGCACAGATAGAAGAACAATTATACCTTAATTCTATTGAACGTCAATTTTTTTCATTATCTATCGTAAAAGAATTAAAAAATGATTCATCATATAAGGAATCAAGAGGTTATGATTTTGTTAAAGAGGAACGATTAAAAAATCATTTTACCGCCGGAACTTTGAGAGGAAAAGGAAAATTTGTCGCTAGACCTTTGATTTTCTTTTCAGAAGAAAAGAAAGAAAGTGTCGTTATTTTGCATGTTGGAAGTGATATGTGTGGTCATGATGGAATCGTTCATGGTATGTTAAAAAAATTTTATATATAAAAATTATATCTTTGTTTATTCTTCTTTTTTTAAACCTTAGGTGGATTATTATCAACTATCATGGATGAATTATTGGCAATAACTGTAAGATTTACCTTCCTTTCGAAAATATTCGAATCATTATTTTTTATTTATATTTTTTTCTCTTACATTTTTAGTCCATTCCTTGCTTGCCTGATAAAAATGGCGCCACCGCTTATTTACATGTAAATTTTCGTAAACCATGTAAATCAGATCAAATTTTAATTGGGCGTTGTAAAACTACCAAATTGGAAGGAAGAAAAGGGTTCGTTGAAGGAACTTTAGAAACATTAGACGGTATTAAATTAGTTGATGCTAATGCATTATTTATCAGTTTAAAAAAATTAGAATAAATTAATATTAGTGCAATAATATATATAGATAATAAATTAATAAATTGTATTTTTTTTATTAATAAATATTTCGTTTGTAATTCTCATAAAAATCATGAAATTCCTTAAAAGTATCATTCTTTTTATGGTCAACATTTATTTATTCCTAAAATGGTTAAAAGAATAATACATGTGCTAATTGCCCAAAAAATGAAGTCGCCGTTTAATTTTGTCATTTTATTGACAAAAAAAATTTTACAATGGGAAACCATGCAAGTAAAGCCTCTGAAGCATGGTTTCATGAAATCTTTTCACAGTTTTCAAAAGAGGAACAGGCTGTTCTTTTGCAAGAATTTGGAGAATTCGCTTCCGATAATATAAACGATCAAAAAATTGGAAAGATTCGTGATGCAGGAGTAACAGCTCTAAGCATTAAAGTAAACAGCAAACCAAAATCCCTTTACTAGAACTTTATTTTTATTTAATTCGTGTTATACTTAAATTCTTTTTGTAATAGAATCATCTTCCTTCCGTATTAGGAGAACATTTAAAAGATGGATTTGTACAATATTTTCAAATACAAACGGCAACAATTGGGAAACAACTTTCATCAGAAAAATTAGAAAAGTTGACATTACAACCATCATCTTCTTTACATATAACTCAACTTGGATTCATTTCTTCAATTCATAATTTAGCTAAAACAACACTTTCAGATCAATCCCAAGCGGCTTTTATCGTTGGTCATTTACATCAAGGATCTTTAAAAACTTTTATTCAAGAAGTTGTAAGAACTTCGATAGTTTACTGGTTTGAAGGAGCTTATATTTCTCAAACTGGTCAAGTAAGGAAATCAAAAAATAAAGGGAAAAAAAAATCTTTTTTGGATTCAGATGACACAAATTTAATTGATTATTTAATTTTATTTCCAAAATTAAAACATGGTGAACCTGAAGAGGATTCACTTTTTAATTTAATTAAAGAAGCGGAAATTGAAGGACATTTTAATAGAGGTTCATTTATGGATTGGTATATTAAAAATACACCTTTTCAACATTTATTTAATATCCTGCTTTCTTGTGTATTCCTGCCTAAGAATTTACCTCAGGATTCGATTAAAACGTTAAGATTTGCCAATTCGGTTTCTCCAGAAATTTATTCTCCATATAAAGCTTTACCAAATTTCTCACAACTTTTAACACCTTCGGATTATTATGTGTTGAATAGCCATTTACCGCCAGATTGTCGTGTCACCACACACAAGCTATTATTCTCCTCAGTCAGAGATGGAGATAGTTGGAGTACATTCATTAATTCCATATTATATCAAGGTTCAACTTATATTATAATAAAAGATAAAGATGGTTATATATTTGGTGGTTTTACTAATGAAGATTGGGAACTTAAGCCAAATTGGTATGGAAATGAAAAGAATTTCTTATTTTCCATTAAACCTAAATTGAGATTGTATCCTTCTACCGGGTATAATGATCATTATCAATATTTAAATTATGGAACGAAAACTTTGTCTAACGGTAAGTTCAATTCGAAAAAATCAGCTTTTTTTTTCATTTTATTTTTGTAAATTATTAATACTTAATAATAGGGTTGGGAATGGGAGGACAATTCGATTTTTGTGGATTATGGATCGATTCAGATATTATTAACGGCCATTCAAAAGCAACACCATTATCATCGACCTATAGTAGTGCACAACTGTCAAAGAAGCAGGAGTTCAAAGTAGATGAGATTGAAGGTATGCTAACGGATTATAAATACGATTCAATGATTCACCAATGAGATTTCACAATAATGACTTATCTTTTCTTTCAGTTTGGCTTGTTAAACCAACAGAAAAAGATCCTGATGAAATACCTAAAGGACCAAAAGGTTCTGCATTGGATAAAAATCCAGCAGAATTGGAATTATTACAAATGGCTACAAATAGGAAAATGTATTCAAAGGATGTTAGAGATCCTAGTTTGTTTATTTATGAAGAGGAGTAATAAAGCATCCGCTATTTGCTAAATTTTAAAGCTATAATTCGTGATTCACCTAAGGATCAACATGATTTCAAATATTACCTTAATCAATTGTTAAAATACTAAGATATCTGTGAATTTAGTTTGGTTTATATTATATAAACCTACTAATAAAATTCTTCTCGCATAATTTATCCACTGGCTACCGAAAAAAAAAATTTTTCTGCGTTATATATTACTGCATCATATATTTCTATTTTTTATAATTTATTTTATTCTTAACGTTAATATTTAGTTTTTGGGTTAATTTGTTAATAATTATTATAGATGTTTTTGTAATAAAAAAAAATATATATATATATAAATTTATATTTAAAAATATTAGTAAAAATAAATTCAATTTTAAATATTAAGCTAAAAATATTTAATTTAATATTTTATTTTTAAAAATTCAATTATAATACATAATATATTTATAAAACCTTAACTATAATCATATTATATAATCTATAAATCTAATATATAATTAACTCCAACATCGCACTTTTTGCATTTTTCACGTGACATTATATTGTATTTACCATTTAAGGAATAAATCATCCGCATTTTTTTTTTTACAAAATGGTTGACAATCGAAGGATTCAAATTTTCTTTTTTGAGGAGGGTGATTTGGGATTTAAATCAATACTTCCAAAATAACTTTAATTTATATATGGAGTTTATGTTGAATGCAGTTTTTCCTTGAAATTTCATCTTTTTGCATAATTTTTAATTTTGCATCGCACGAACCCGTGGGCTCTAATTCTGGTCAACATTGTGTATCAATAATACCAAAAATCCGACCAATAAAATTCGATTGAACGCGAACCCAGTTCAAAAAAATATTAATAAAATAATAAATTTTCACTCAATTGGATATTGGATACGTACACTTTATAGTTAACATTAAGCTATTCATTAAATATGTCATTCGCTTCAGTAAATGACATAACGTCAAGACTTGAAAAGCTGGAACAAAACATTACTTTAACTTTGCAAGAAATCGACCATAACTTTTCAACTTGCCAGTATAAAGTTACAACAAAAATTTTACCACAAATAACGCGTTTTGCCTGTGCTTCGGAAGACATTTGGGAGAATTCAAAGGTTTTACTTCATTATATTATCATTATTTATTTTAATGAAACGCGTACTTGATTATTAATCTTTTTCTTTTTTTGTTTTTTTTTATTATAAATTTGTGGGTGGGAGTCAGTTGTGGTGGTCATTTTTCGAGTCTTTAGATTTAACTACAAATGATACATTTTCAGCGACATCATCTGAGGATTATATCAATATGAAAAAGAAACTTGTTATTAATGAAACTTCATCATCGAAATCGGATACAAGTAAAACTACAACAACAATTAACTCGATATTAACAAATCCTTCAAATTATAATTCATTGACTTCAACACCTTTACAAGAGCCACAATATGTTCATGGAAATCTTAGCAATAACAACCATAGTGATATTAATACGAATACGACATTAACTTCAGAACAATGTATTTTACCACCACAATCATCTTCTGCTTGCACGGATAGTGATTATGAATTTGCTGGAATTTCACCACCTGTTACCTTTCAATTTTCTGTGGCACCTTCAAGATTATTGACGACGCCTGCGAAAGAAGCGGCTAAGCTTATCGTAGATGAACTTGTCAGTTGTATGAGTCCTGATCTAACAACTCCGTCAAATTCAAATAAAGGTTGGTGAACAGTATTGAATAAATTATTTAGAAAAAAAAATTCATTTGTATTCGTGTTACGCGTTTTAATAAAGAGATGCATGTTACTATTAATATTTGAAAAGGAGATATATGTGTATATTAAGATAAAACCTTTATTCCTTTATTTATAAAATATTTGAATACAACATCAAAGAAAATAAATTCTCATACCAAATAAAATAAAAAGAAAGAGAAAAAAAAAAAAGAAATAGAAATTTAGAGGAAAAATTACGAATTCTTTGATCACACCCACTATAAAATTTAACCTGTAAGAAATATCAAGTAAACCAACATCATAAGCCCAAAATGTCCAATGCCCTTTTATAAATCTTAACAAGGGAATGCGCCAACCCTCCAATATAATAATATAATAACAAATCCTTAATACAAAAAAAAAAAAAAAATAGTTATAATAATTCATATTCTACTATCCTAACAAGCGAAGAAATATCAAAGTATAAAATATCCATCGGTTTACATATATATATTTCTATTCTTTATTAAAATTTTGTGAAAATATTCAAAAAAAAAAATTATATTACCCGTTAATATTACCCATTTTAATAGTTCAGATTTTCGATTTTTCTGTAAGCAAAGCAAAGGAAACACAATTTGGGAAACAAATAATAATCTTTTGCTTTTTTTTTTTTTTCAATCAGATCATTAATTTGATCGATTCGATTTTTTTTTACTCAGGAATTCTTTTTATACTCGCGTTATTCTTTTTCTAGGATTTTTTCGTTTTTTGGCCAACTCCTCTTAATTAATAATAATTTTTTGGAATCTTATTAATAATCATAGAATAAAGAATAACAAACACAAATGGAAAAAGCTTTGAAATATTATAAATTCTATATGAATATTTCTTTTAACTTCATGTTTTGTCATTGTTTTATTAAGATACAAGTGCAGGGCGTTTGGGCATATCAGAGATATGTTCTGGTGACTGTATTTTTTCACAAAGAGAAAAGGACATATATATGTATATATATATCATAAAATTAATAAATCAAGAATGATGATAAAATGTCAAATTTCCAAATTAATATCTAATCATACCGCTTTTCTTTTACCAAGAATAGGGGGACTTGAAACACTTTCATTTTCAGATAACTTTGCATGTCCTTGGTGCTAGAATGACAAATAATGTTTAATATTGATGTTCAATACTGACTATATATACATTAACGTAACACTACCTTAAGTGCATCAGCATGGCATGTTGCATGATATATAATACCATCAACTTCAACAGCGTTACGAAATAACCATTCTTCATCTGTATCATTCCAAAAACTTTGAAGTTTTTCTTGACAGATTGGACATGGCTTACCAGCCTTTTCAGGATCAAGCGGTACGATAACCGTTGATTCATTAATCAATTCTTCTCTTCTGAATGTTTGGATATTAACACTACCACTTCCAGTTACATTTTTTATTGTACCACTATTATCAAAGTCAAAAAATGCAGGAGTTGTAGTGTTTTTTGTATCTGATTCTCTTGAATGAATCCAATCCTATATAATACGTTTTTGTTTTAACAAGCATTGTATAATTAATTAAAATATTGGAATTTATAAACAAGAGAAAAATATTAACGAAAAAATAAAATTAACTCAATTATACCTCGTCGTTAACAAACCAACTACGACTTTGCGCCTTCTTTGACTTTTCCTTCATTCGACGATTTTGACGGAAATGCCAATCCAAATGAGCATCCATCTTTGCTTTTCCTTCTTCATCTCCAGCATATCGAAATCCACATTGTTTGCATTGGCGTGGTAAAGCATCATATATGACCGCAATCGCTCCTTCATGTTTGCTTTTAGTAAATAAATTTATAAGAAATTTTGTTCCCATTTTCGGATATTTGGTAGAATTATGGCTAATATAACTTACCGTTGAATATCATTACTGGTTAGTCGAATCCTTTCTAAATCCATTACAGATTTCACAGTAGATGAAGGTGGATCTGCATTAATTGAAGACGGAGGTGGTGGTGTAGGAGTATTATTTCTTCCCGCATAATTCAATCCACTAATATTACCGAGATTATTACTTCCTATATTATGTAATCCGTAGTTAATTAAATTCTTGACCAAAGTATTTGGATCTGCTAAAAGATTGTGCGGTGGTTGTGGAATCGAAGAAGGAGGTTGTTGTACTGGAGATCTCACTGGAATTGAACCTGGTTGAGGTTGTGTAAGAAGTGAACCTGAATTGTTGAAAGAACTTGCTGATGAGGCATATACAACACCGAGAACAGTCGACAAAACATTTAAATCAGTTGTACCAGTAATAGAAATTGAAGGTCCAAGACCTTGAGTCAAGTTATGGAACGAAGGTGGAATTATAGGAGGTCCATGAGCCTGCAACGTGGCGGGATTAGGCATTTGATTAAAAGAGGCAAATAGTTGGCGAACTTGCTGTATTTGATCAACCGTGAGAGGCGCTTTTTGAAGGACTTCTGAAAGCTATAAAATACATTATGAATTTGAGTAAAGGTCATATTGATATTCTTTAATAAGAAGATAAATTAATCTATAAAGCCAACCTGTCGTAAATTTCCAATTTGATTTTGGTTCTGCAAATCACTGGGATTTCTCGAAGCATATTGCTGCCGCTGCAAAATCAATGCCTGACATTCTTGTAAAAGTCCCTGTTGTTCAGGAGGTGGAACAAATACTTGATTTTGTTGAATGATTGGAGAAGCAGGCTTGTTTGCAAACTAATTATAATAGAAAAAAAAAGAAAGCGCGAAATAAGGAATCATCAATATATTATACATCAATAAATTTTGGATGTACATTCAATCATCATCTCCAAGAAAAGGAACATTAATTTTTTTGATCATCAATTAGTAACGATTTTTATTATACAAGGATTTGGTAGGGATAAAGGAGATAAAGAAGGCCATATATAGTGTGTTTTTTTTTGAGGAGAAATATTTTGATTATTATATTTTAAATTATTTTTTTCTTTTTATTTTCTTTTTTTTTTTGTATTTTTTTTTTTTTTTCATCATTATTCTTTTTTGTTTTTTTTTATTTTATTAAACCTTCAATTTTCATTTCTCTATTTTTTTCATTTTTTTCATTTCATTTTTTTTTCTCTTTTTCTTTTGTTTTTTTTTTTTTGCAACATTTTATATCATAAGGATGGAAGTTATAATTGATCTTCCAGATTTATTTTATTTTATGCATTTTATTTTTGTTAATTTTGTTATATATATATATATATATATATATTTTT